ATTCATAGATTCATAGATTAAGGGTCGGAAGGGACCTAGTAGATCTTCTAGCCCGACCCCCCGCCAGGGCGGGAGAACAACAAAAAACCCCAAAAAGAGAAACGGGACTCAAACGAGTCCAGCCAGGTAGGCATCCAGCCTCTTCTTAAAGACCCCAGGGTAGGGGCCAGCACCACTTCCCTTGGAAGTTGGTTCCAGCTCCTAGCCGCCCTAACCGTGAAGTAGTTTTTGCGGATGTCCTTTATTTAGTGCAGTTAAAATGCAAATAGTTGTACATTTAAGTAGTTTAGCACATGTTAAATGCCATTGTGGCACTGCAAAGTTGTTCACTTTCAGGCAGGTAACCATAGGGCGCTACATTCCAATGATTTGCAACTGCTGCAATTGAATGTGTGACAAGGCACTAAGACAGGGATGCTCAACCCCTGGCCTATAGGCCAGATCCAGCCCATGGAGCTAAGTCATCTAGCCCTTATGGCTCCCCATAGGTCCAAAAATTTGGTGATGGGGCAGTGGCAGCTGCCACTTTCCTTTTGCCAAATTTATAGACCCATAGGGAGCTGTACAGACTCAATAGCATGGCCTTGCATGCTAGATTGGGCACATGGGGCTGCTGGGGCAGTGTGGGGTTGACTGGGGCAGCACAGAGCAGTGCAGTGTGGCATAAAGCTGATTTGGCAGCATGGGGCAGCACAGAGCCAATCTGGGTAGTGCAGGGCAGCATGAAGCTTTGTTGATTCAGGCACTGTGGAGTGGCATGGAATTGATTGGGACAGGGCAGGGTTCATCTGAGCAGCATAAGGCAGATCAGGGCAGTGTGGAGCTGATTAGGGTGGTGTGGGGCAGTGTGGAGCTGATGTGGGATGTGACAAGCCAATTAGGGGGGTGGGAGGTGGTGTGGGGCTGTTCAGGGCAATATGGGGAAGATCCAGGTGGTGCAGAGCTGATTGGGGCAGTGTGGGACCAATTAGGATAGTGTAGAGCAGATATGCTGACACGGGGCCAATCGTGGCAGTGTGGAGTGGCCTAGGATCCAATCCTAGTGCGTGAGGCTGGGCAGAGGCAGCATGGGGCCTGATCCTGGTGCACAGGGCCTGAAGCAGCCTGTGGACTGGCTCTGCAGTACTCATTTGGCCTATGGGGCCACCACTGCCCTAAGATATCATGCAGGGGCATTTCTAAATTGTTCCTAACTTAGAGAATGCAAGATTGGGAGTGACTTCCTGTGACAAGTGTCTCTCTTCCAGGTCTGTCCACTAGTGGCCCTGCCCACCTGTTATGGGCCAACCGCCCACCTTCTCTCCTGCCATGCCTTGTTGTTACTTGCTTAATTAGAGGATGTTAGTTAAGCAGGAGGCTGCCCATTTTCTGCCCCGATGCCATGGGGCGCTATCTGCAGCTCCTTTCCTCCCCTTACACTGCAGCCCAAGCCTCGCTGATGTACCGGACATTGTTTGGTCAGTCTCGCTCTCTGTGTCCTCTGGCGCCTGGGCTTTCTGTAGCCTTGTCTGACAACTACGCCCCCTCTGGGGCTCGTCAATCGTCACTCCCTCTGCTCTGGGGCTTCTCTCAGCCTCGGGGCTCAGGGGGCTATAGCCATGCCTGGCCTCTTCCTTGGTGCCGGGGTCCGTGTACCCCAAAATGCTGTGCCCTCTCTGGCGCCGGGGTTAGTGCACCCCAAATGCTGCACTTTCTCTGGCGCCAGGGTCAGTGCACCCCAAATGCTGTGCCCTCTCTGGCACTGGGGTCAGTGCACTCAAAACGCTGCGTCCTCTCTGGCACCAGGATCCCCACGCTACCATGGAGCCCCTATGAGGCCTCCTCCAACCGCTAATAGCCTCACCCGGTCCTCCGGTCTAAACAGTGAACACAAAAACACAAGCCCCTGGGCTATAACATAAAATCTATGCCATCTGGCTAAACAACATTCAGTCCCTACCAGGGAATTCTCCACCCCATAACAGCAAACAGGAGCTGCTCGTGCAGTCAGACTTCTCCTTGCTGTTTGCTCTGGCAGAACTCCTTCTCCCTTGACTACTGGCGGGGAGCTCCCTGCCTGGCCTTGGCCTGGGGTTATATGGGAGCCAGGCCCTGTCCCTTCTAGTCAACTGACTCCCACTGGTTACCCTGGCAACCCTCAGCTGGATTCCTTACTGATTGCTTCACAAGTAGCAGGCACCTCAGTGCCCTGTTACACTTCCATAAGAAGATGCAAGTATTAGGGGTGTACAAAATGGGCCGTATTCAATTCCGAGTCGGCCTGAATCAGGGACAGTGATTTGATCCATTGATTTGGATCATTTTTCCCGATTTGAGTCAGCCGAATTCAAATCTGAAGATTCAATGCTGATTCGGAGAATCAGAGATTCAGCCATAGACACAGCTTTAAATGTTTTTTCTACATATGTCAAGGTACCAGGCACGGCTCATGAATATTGCAATGGTGGGGCAAATGGAGTGTGGAGATAGGGACCCTGCGTGCTCGGCAGTGAACCCACAAGTGCACTGGAAGTTCTAACGGTCCACTTCCAGGTCTGTAAGTGAGTGCGCTGGGGGCCCCCTGCACTCCCCTGGCTCAGGAATCGGCCGCGGGGGGACCCTGGGTGCCCCCCCAGACCCAAGAGGCACCAGTCGCTGAGTTGGGGGGTATGGGGGGACCCACCTGCGCACTCCCCAGTGGACCCGTAAGTGGACCAGAAGTGCTTCTGATCCAATTCTGGGTCAACTGCCAAGCATTCTGGGAAGTCCCCCGCGCTCCTGTGGGACTCTCCGTCACCTCAGCATCGCAGCATTCATGAGTTGCCTGGTACCTTGAGGTATGTAGAAAAAATATTTAAAG